CAAAACGTTCGATATCTTCGAACGAAATCACGTTAAAATGATCGAACGGCTATTAACTTAAAAGTATGCCTTTTCCTCTTCCACCGATATACAATGGAAAATGATCGAAATACATACACGCATTCTGGAATTCAGAAACCGAATCCTCGATGGTGGAGAGGCAATTGATCACCAATTACGCGGACTGTTAATCGTAGCCACTCTCCACTATGATCCAAGCCACTCGTACACGGAAGATGACCGTCACTTTGACCGACCGAGTAATTACTGACGCTGTCACTTCTCACTTTATGGAGAGAGAGAGAGAGAGAACGGGACACTAATTTCTGGCCCACTTTACAACCCGCCTCAATCAACCAGAATTGCACACACTGTGGAGCACACACTTTCTGCATGTATACGAGCTACTTGTTGATCGACACTGAACGAGCACCAGTAGAAACAGTAAACTTCGAACACGTCACAGGATTAATCCACTCCCCTTTTCAATCCCGTCGATTGATAATTTCCATCTGCGTCCACGGTGCGTGATCGTGCGATTGAGAGAGAGAGACAATGTGATGAAAGATTCTTTTTTTTTTTTTTTCTTTTTTTCAGATGAATATCGATCGATGGATTTATCAGGACGTGGAGGATATATTCAGGCGAACGGATGGGTTAATGGATGGGTTATCGAGAGGAGGAGGATGTTGTTGACGGGTTATTATAACCGAGTTGTAAACGCGCCCATTCATGGAACACTCCCGGTCTGAGGGACCGAGCGAGACTGGCGGAAGAAACGCGCGCGTGCCGCTTGGGAACACATAGGGAACGCGGAACGCATGTCAAAATGAAATGTCTGAAGAGGGAAGGTACACAACAGGATCCTTGTGGAGGATCCTGAAAATTCCCGTTTTAACAGGTGGATGATGGAATTGGAAATTCACGAGATCGAGTTGTGGCTGGGCCGGAGGGGAGGGAAGGCAGGGGAAGGATGGAAAGAAAAATTTCGAATCGGGGATAAATTGGAATCAATGGAATTTATGAGTTTTAAAATATGCAAAGTTTGATGTTTTTCTGAGAGTATCTCAGTGTATTTGAAGGTGACGGTTGTTGGAAAAAAGAAAAATGTTGTTGTACTCGTGTTTCCATGAATTGTATTCAAAAAGAGTATGTTATTTCTTTCCATAGAATTGAATAGAAATGTGTATTGTGTGATATTTGATGGAAGTTTTTAATAAAGCTAGTGTAATTAGATATGGAAGCTTTTATTAGCAATTTAAAGTTTTTATTAAGTAAAGTGTGAATTAGATCGCTATTTTGTGTCACGGAGTCATTAAAAGTTTTCATATTTGACATTCTCGTTAAAAATTATTTTTTGATGTAATTAATATCAGGACGAATTGGAGGAGGAGGAAGAAGAAGAAGATATAATGATAAAATGCGAATATGAAATGAGATAATTAAAATAAAATGTGATATATTGAAGAAAATATATATTTTTATTTTTTTTTTGTATCATAAATTATGTTTATAATTTAATTAAAAGATTTTTAAATTTGAAATATCATAGTGAAACATTTTCTTAAAATATTTACAATATTTTTGCATTTATCATTTAACAATATTTCATCGTAAAAGAATATAAAGAATCGAATCATTAAATTAATTTTTTATTATATTTTGAAGGAATTATAAGAGATTTTTTTTTATTTTTGTATCTTATTATCGACTGAGCATAGAATAAGATTGCAACACAACTAGCGAGGCAAAGAATAAATTTATCCATATTCTGAAATACCGACTATACAACGAATCGGGATATTTTTTCTGCACATTTTGAAGAATAAATTAAAAAATTAATCGATATTATAACAATTAAAGTTGATAAAGTGGAAAAAATTGCATTTTATATGATAAAGATAAATCTGAATGCAATTTAATTAATTATTGTGGCAATTATAAGTTTTACTTTTCATATGAAATATGAATTATAAATTCCCAAAGAATTAGAGTAATTTTTTTTCGAAAACTTTTTGTTTAAATTGATTCAATGCATATAAATTTATAAGCAATGTATTTTTAGTCATATTTTTATATTTTAAAACCATTGTTTGCAGTCATTGTGAAAATATTTCGCGAAATATTTGATTTCTCGAAGAAATCATTTATTTATATTTATGCATCCGCGTTCTGTTGAATAAAAATCAAAATAATGAATATATCTTATCACTATCCAATGGAAATTTTTCATACCTTGTTTCATTTTCGCATATTTCACGATGTACTATATTTCAATTTCCCGCCCAGCTTCGAGTAGAAGGGGAACCGTGCCATTCCAGCCAATAGCTGTTAAGTGAATTCATGATCACAAACTGCATAGTATTTCTTCTCTTTCTTCTCTGTTGCAATACATAAGTTATTAACATCGATTCGATAACACGCGTTTATTATTATTTAACATTCGGCGTTATTCGAACGAAATAAAATTCCCAAATCCCTTTTGGATCAGTCAAACAAGTAATCTGACACATCAACTCGCTTTCATAATCCTTCATGTTGGTGAGACAATTCGAAAGTATAATTGATAAAACTTTTTTAATTTTCATCATTTATTTATGAAAGTTTCATTTATTATATTCGTGAGACTTATATATACTGATTATAATGACACTATATGACTCAATTCATGTTAAATTATATAATGTTTAACATTTATTTATTAAATTATGAAAGCAGATTACTTTACATATATTTAAAATAATAATAACGTAATATTTTTAATAGGATTAATGTTATTTACAATTATATATTGTAAAATAATAATAATAAAAAAAAGAATTATATATTTTGAAACGAAACATATTTATTGTGTTATGATTTTATTTCGCTCGTTCTCTTCTTTCTCTTTTTTTTCCCCCCTATTTGTTCATCGCTGTCGATAATATAGAGCGAACATTGAATAACTGTAAAAGATTCGCAATCTTTGCAATTATCTATCAGTGATATTGATTCTCGCTTTTAATATGCGCTCAACCAAAACACAGATGTTTGTTTATGTTTTTTCTCAAACATAGAGAAGGACAACGAGTGAAAGAGACAGAAAACAAAGATGCTTCAAAAAAAACATGTCGATGAAACAAAATAATGCAATACTATACATTTCTTCTATTTTCCTCCATTCTTTTAATGAAATTTTTAATCATTGTAATTGTAAGATCTTTTTAATTAAAATAAGTTCAAATATGATATAATTTGGACCATATTTATGTATGTAATATAAGATAATAAATTTGTTTTTTTTTTTTTTTTCTATTATTTTATCTTGCACTAATACTGTCTCTCCAACATTTTATCTCGGATCAAGTTTCATTGCTCGAACATCTTGTTACGTGTCGTGGTAAGAGGGGATTTTCTCAGTGTTGGGAATGAATCTCCAGTTATGAAGTAGGTCAATCTTGCAATTATAAAATATTTACTATACATTATTATGCCAGAGTCAGTAAATAGTTATATATCTACGTATCGTGTTTCCTGTGTATTAAATGTTTCGTTCTCAATACGAAATCTTGATCATTGATATATTAATTAGCTCATACTGGTGGCAAATAGTGAATGAACACCTTTATTTACATTGGTAAATATAAAATAGTCTTATCGATTAATTAATTTATTTCATCAACAATAAATCAAAAATAAAACAATTTTACATTATTATTGTTTCACCAATATGAAGATAATCCAGATCTTGAAAAGATTAAATAAAATAATTTAACGAACTTTTATCATAGGATCAATCCATGTATTTCTCTCCTCTGATACTTTTTATATATCAAAATTACGTTATGAAAACCAAAAACTTTTCGATTTTAATTTAAGAGGAATAATCACACTTATAAATTTAAAAAACAATCTCATAAATGCACCCATAAAATATAATCTTATTAATCTTATCTTTTGTTGCGTTTAATCATTAATAATAATTCAAGTGATCAGGATAATGACAAAAAAGAAAAAACTGAACTTATCCAAGCAACAATGTTTAAACGTTCTTGAGGACTTGAAGGACGTTATTTATTTTGCTATGAAGCATCGAGTCCATCACGTGACAATGCATCGAATAATGAAAAACGCCGTGGTTATCAATAAATTCAGGATAAACAACAAAAAGATCGGCGAATTGAAAAGACCGCAATACGAGAAGTTGAAGGAATGTTTGTTTTTAATACCGCATAACGTTAAATTGCCGTTAATACTTTATGGTAAAGGCTTTGAAACATTTTAAGTGAAAAACGTATAAAAACGTGTAAGGATATTGAAGAAATGAAAAAGTTAAAAAAAATTAGAATAAGTTAGAGAATAATTAATTATTGTTAAGCTTCATAAGTTTTAAAAAGCATTAAATATATTTTATGTTACTTATTTAACGTAAGATATTATTCGATATATAATGTAAGTCAATAGGTTTTAAAAATAATTTTTGATACAACCTTGATATTTTTGTTCAATATATTTATTGAAATGTATTCATAGATCTTTTAACTGTATGGATAAAGAGTAAACAGAAATAGAGTAAAAAATTCAAGAATTAGCGTCACCTCGTGTGCTGCAGAGAAAACAAATATAGACGAGGAGAATAAATCGTAGAACAAGGATGGAGACAGGATAAGAATTGATTATTAGCGCCATCTTGTAAATATCAAAAACATCTGTTCAAAGATAGGATAAAATAAAGTAAGAATTAAAAGTTAGCGCCATCTTAGAGAAAATAGTAGACAAAGAAAGTAATCCGTAAGAGAAAGATATACATATATATATAAAGATAAGAGTTGACTGTAGCACCATTTCTTAATTACTAAAGATATCTTTGGGAAAGTAAAGTAACAATTAAGCATCTGCACTATCTCTCGAGTGTTTTTAAAAAAATGATCCTTTGAAGAAATATCTTTGATATTTAAGAAATGACAGTCAATTCTTATTCTATCTTTCTCCTATTATTTACTTTCCTTATTTATATTAGATTTATACTCTAAAGATGGCGTTGATTTTACAATTTTTACCTCTATCCATTTCTTATTATTGACTCTCCTTGTTTATACGTGACCATAAAGAAAATACGAAATATCAATTTTCAGATAATTCAGATAATTTAGTCCATTTTTTAAATATTTTTGATATGATTTTTAAATAAAAAAGAATTACAAAAGGATTAAAGATACGAATAAATTTAATAAATATTTTATATTTCGAATCAAATGCAAAACATAAAAAAAAAGAAATCTATTTATATTATATAAACGTTATTGTTTTCAGGTATCAATTCTACCTACAATTTCAAACCATTGTCGTAATGCATCGCTCAACACAACAGGCAAGGTATTCAAATCTCTAAGAATAATATAAAATGGAAATGGAAAGTTATCCATGTAGGAACGTATACCTAATAATTTACCACCATCAAAAACTGGCATTCTAATATCAAGTATTGAATCCTAGAAAAAAGAATATATAATAAAAACAAAACAGCACATAATTATACAAAATAATATAAATTTTCTTATTTACCTTGTTGAGAGGATTATCGACTATTATGAAAACGAGAAATATATTCAACAATTTAGCTTTTCTCACAGCTGTAGTCACCGTTTCTATCCCTTCGGAGAATATTCCTCTACCGTCCGATAAAATAGTAACCAATTTGGCATTGTCAGAAGAACTGCTTTGAGATGCGAACATTTCTATCGTAAAATCAAGCAACTGACCGATCATTGTCTTTTTCTGTTCAAACTTCATTTCTTGAATCAACCTGGAAGATTTAAACTTTTCTTAATCGTTCTACTTGCATCTAGATTTATTCAATTATTCGTCACAGTTATGCACGCTTACCTAGCGCCACTTTCCTCTGTAAAGTTTTCCCCGAAAGGATGAAGTATGTTCACCCGTTCCCCGAAATTGAGAACAGCGAGTTGGCCAACCTCCAAATAAGTCATAGCTTTGCCAATTAACGAAAGCGACTCAAATGCCAATTCCTTCGAGTGGTTGTCGGCCATACTGCTCGAATCATCGATGGCCAATACGATCTGATAATCCCTTTTCGACGGTTTCGTACGCCTCAACCAAATTTTATCTTTACGAAATTCACTGGCTATATACGGAATCACTTTTCTCATGTTTATACGCTTGCCAGTCCTGTAATCGCCTTTCAATCGAGAAGTTAACGTCGGCTCCAATACCAAACGTAATTTTTCCGACAATTCCCTGGCAGCTGATTCGGTTATGGCGCTTATAGAATTCCAAGCATTCGCCGCCTCTATCGAAGATGGCCCCTGAGACCATTGGCCCAACATATTCTCTATCTCGGACCTCTTCTGTGCAATGTCATCCGTGGAAACGTCGTACAACTCTGTTTCCGATAATTTTGTATGAATGGTAGATTCATTCCCTCGTAAAACACGAGTCGTTTCCACGTTTTCCCCTTCAACGTCACCCCCTATCTCGATCTGTTCCGCGTCGTCTGTTCTTTCGCCTCTCGCGTTCGCCGATTTTTCCTTCTTACTTTCAGACAATTTCTGAGATTGTTCCTTCTTTGTTTCTTCCTCTCGATCGCTCGATGCTGGATCCTCGTGCATTTTAACGTCATCATCTTCCAATTGATCGTCCATTTTATCCTCTTCTGAATAATTTATACGAAGAGAGAGGAAAATTAAAATATAATTTTTGAAAAAACTTTTTGAAGAAGAAAGAAGAAATTTACCTTCCAAGTTCGATGCCTGTTTCTTAATTTGTTCTTCGGTCGCAGCATCAAAAGCGTAATCGTCGTGTTTCTCCGAACTTTTGATATGCTCGTAAGTCTCACTTTCACCGCCACCTTTATTCTTCTCACTCTCCTCCCCGGTGTCTCGATCGTGTATCTCGGCGGTTTTTAATTCTTTGCCGAAGATTGGGCGTCGTCATCGAGCAAGCTACGTTTATCATCACTCTGGCCTGGCCTTCTTCGTTTCGGTGCTGGTTTCGAAGACACCTCTTCGCCAGAAGTAGGGACGTTCTCCTCCTGCTTGGATCCAGAATGTCCCTCGCGTTCTTCCGTTTGCGATTGGCCCGTTCCTTGAAAAACAACGAAACGAATTATTCGAAACGAGTTTTATATTGTAACAAATGTAAAGATAAAAATTTTGTTACCTTTATCTTTTTTACTCTCCACGCTATTCTCCGTGGGATCTATTTCCATTTGCTCCTCATTCGACTGACTTTCCACCGCATCTCTCGAGCCATCTTTCCTCGATTCAACTTCCTGGGAGGCGTCGACTTCTTTGCTACCCGCGTCAAAACTGGCTGGCGCCACATCTTCTTCCTCGTTATTCTCTTCTTCCATCTTCTCATCCTTCTTCTCATCCTCCTCGAGCTTCTCATTCTTCTCATCTTTCTCAACTTTCTCCTCTTTTCTTTTGTTACCGTCCAAGTTTGAATCTTCCTCCTCCTCCTCCTCCTCCTCCTCCTCATCACCAGACTCATTCGTTTATCTTTCTCAGAGCCTTCTTTCTCTTCACACTCGTTCATTTCTTCCGAAATTTCTCTCGACTCTTTCATCTGATCAATGTCGAAGGGATCTTTCTCCTCTTCGCCCTCAGGATTATCCTCCTTCGCTTCCTCGTCTAAATTAACATCCTCCGGAAGCTCGAACGGTTCCGGCTCTATTTCCGGCCGATATTTTCCGTGATACGGATCTATCTGATCCTCGTTTACCTCGGGCTCTTCCAATTCGTTGATCTCTCTCTTCTCTTCCTCCGTCTTCCTTTCTTCACCCTCCGTTTCCTCGTTCCCATCTCTCTGTTTATCGCCCTCGTCCTTCGCGCTCAATTCCTCCTTTCCAGTTTTCTCACCTCTCCCCCTCTCCTCCTTTTCATCCTCCTTACCTTCCCCCTCCTCCTCCTCCTCCTCCTCCTCGTCCTTCCAAATCTCTTCGTCCAGCTTGTCAGCAGTTTCATCGGTCTCACCCATCTCTTTGTCGAGGTCTTCGTCTTCCTCGTTCTTCTCTTCCTCCTCCTCGTCCCCTCGCTCGATATCTTGCATCGATCCTTCGAAATTTTCCGACATCTCTATCCCTTTCTCCTCCTCCCTTACATCCTTCTTCCCTTCCTCCTCGCTCTTTTCGTTCGGGTCCCTCGCCCCCTCCAACTGATCCTCGCTCTCGATCCTCTCTGACACGTCCACCCGCCCCTCGCCCTCGGCCAATCCCATCCCTCCCTCGACGTTCCTCCCCTCCTCCCCGCCGCACTCGGCCTCGTCCTCGTCGTTCGGTAGGCAGAAACCGTTAGCCGCCAAGTCGAGGAAGACGCCGAGTTGAAGGTAGAGGAATTTGCAAGTGAGACGGAAGGACGCCACTTGCTCGTGCAGATAGTAACGGAGGAGCAGGGTGTATTGTTCGAGAAGAGGTAGATACCGCAATAAAGATCTGGGGGAAATTGAAATTATTTGTGGATTAATTTCATGTGAAATTTGTGTATACACTAACGAGGAGAAAGAGAATTGCAAAATCTACCGATGAATGAGAGAAGACAATGGATAACGCGTAGTTTTAATTCTGTTAGCTTGCTCTTGGATAGGATAGGTTTCTTAACAATAGTAATAATAGTGATGGGGATCTAATATTATTATTCATTCGTGGAAATGCCACGTCTGGAGATGCCTAATATCGATGCATGTCTAGTGAGAATTGTATCATATAAATTTGATCATTATTGATTCACGATTTTTATGATTTTTATTCATATGCATATTATTTTAGATTTCTCCTTCAATTCTACGTACGATTTAGTAATGTCTAATAATAATTGTAATTATATAAATTTAACCATTATTGATCCAATATTTTCCAATGATTTTTATTGATATAAATCATTTTAGATTTCTTTTTTAAGAAATTCTACGTATCTCGTAAGATCTAACAATTCTAGTCTAGTGACAATTGTATTATATGAATTTAATCATTGTTGGTTCACGATATACAAATCATTTTAGATTTCTTCTTCAAGAAATTCTACGTACCTTGTACCATTCTAGTAATATCTAGTAACAATTGTATCATATAAATTTGGTCATTATTGATTCATGACCATCACAAATGATTTCTTCTTCAAGAAATTACGTATCTTATACGATCTAGCAATGTTTAGTGACAATTGTATTATATAATTTAATCATTGTTGATTCACGATATACAAATCATTTTAGATTTCTTCTTCAAGAAATTCCACGTACCTTGTACCATTCTAGTAATATCTAGTAACAATTGTATCACAAATTTGATCATTATTGATCCAATATTTGTATGCTCAAGTTGATATGCAAAACATTTTAAAATCAAGAAAAAATAACGTTAGAAATTCTACCTACCTTACACGATCATTCGCAGATTCGACATCGGATTCGTGAATGATTTGCATCAATTCGCCGAGTAATCGCGACACCGTGTTCAAACGTAAGTCTGGCATAACCCTCTCCAACGATTCTATCAATCTCTCGGTCATCAGATTCTCCTCTACGTCACGATTTTCCTCGGTTTCGTTCCCTCGTTCGCCGATTTTCCGACTGTCTGTGAGCCTCTTCTGAACGACGAGTAGAATTTGGGTGACCAACGCGTCCAACTTCTCCTCGTACTCTTTCTCCTTCTCTTCTCTCTTCTTCTCGCTCGCTCGCTCGCGCATCGATCCGAGTATCTCTCGATTGCTCTCGTCGATCTTCTCGATCAGGAAACGCACGTTCTCGACGATCGGATGATCGTCGGTGAACGCGCGCCTCAGCTCGGCCAGTTCCCGCCTAACTCGATCGAGCCGTCGATGACTCGCCTCCAAGAACTCGACTCGCCCTCGATGCGACAGGAAGACCCCTCCTCCACCCGATCGTTCCACCCTCCTCTCGATCGAGATCCACCGATTCGACTCGCTCGCTATCCCCCTCACCAGGCCCAAGCAATCTCTCAACGAGGCGGCGGCGCTCCTCGAAACGTCCTCGTCCCTCAACCCGGCCACGCGCGTCTCCGTCAGATCGAGGCCTTCCTCGAGACAATCGCCCGTCGGACAACTCTCCAAAAAGGTCACGATCTGCTTCACGGATATCTGCAACACCTCCAACAACCCTTGGAAATTGCTCGCCGCCTCACGAAACTCCCTCTGCGGAGGGATTATCACGACTCTTCGAGCCGATTCCGGGGGAATATCTTTGGAGGAGTCAAGTTGGACGACTTCATTCGACACCGATCTCTCGTCGATCCTCATCGATCCAAGGTTCGACACTTGGAGGCCGAAGGGGAGCAGGAGGTCGAGGAAGCCGGCTATGGTCTGTTTCTGACGATGGGCGAGGAGGACGAGATGAGCGGAGAGGCCGCGGCAACGCTCCGCGTCCTGCGCGCCCAGCCCGCCCCTCCCGCTGCTCAGGATCCCGTCGAGGAAGCTCAGTCTGACCAACGACTCGTAATAGTACCTGTCGCAATCCGACCACTGCTCCTGCAATCCTCTCCCCGCTTGGCCCTCCTCTCCTTGCAAGAATAACTCGTCCGCCCGGATCTGACGCAGATCCAGGGGCGAGCACGTGAAATTCATAACCTGGCCCCTTCGATTCTTCCACGCGAGGACGCCTGTCCTGTACGAGATGCCTAGTCGAGTGGCCAACGTTTTGAAATAATTCGCCAACGCCGCCCTCTTTCGCCGGCCGATGCTCTTCGACAGGCCTCGTCGCTTCTCCTCCGTCAACGTCTCGTCGATCCTCAGGTTTCTCAACTCCTCGCTCTCCTCCAGACACTCCTCGACGAAGACCTCCACGTCCCCTCGGATCCGGGCGTAATCGTTGCTCTTGATCACGAGCTCGCAGTATTGGCGAGCCTTGCGCGCCAATCTTGCCAATTTTCCAGAATCCTTGGGTTCGGTGATCAAGAAATCGGCGGGTTCGATCGGCTCCTCCCTTCTCGAAGAAGAGGGAGCCTCGCTCCTCGGCGACCTGAGACGAGAGGCGACGCTCTCCCGCAGAGCGTTTCGATACTCCCTCGCGAATTTGTGCAGCGTCCTCCTCGTTTTATCGGCCGTTCCTCTCACGGACCAGTAGCTCAAGTCGTTCCACCTCGCGATCTTGATCGCGTCCCTCAGCTTCTTCGCGATCGGCTCCTTCGAGGCTCTCATCCGTCCACGAACGTCGTCCACGAATCGGGCGTAATACATGTGAACGTTCCACAATATGGACAGCAATTCCTTCCTTCTCCTCCTCCCCTTCTCCCCCTCCTCGTCGAGGAGGCGAGCGTGGTGTCGATAGAAGAGACGAATCAATCCGAGCCTGCCCTCGAACTCGATCAGACACGACTCGGTCATGAAACGTTCCAAGCTCTCGATCATCTTCCCTCTCCTCGATGCGTCGTCCTCCTCCTTTCCACTATCATCCGTAACATACTCGTCCGTCAAATCGAAGAGGAAGAACCACCATCTCGAGGCCTCGGTCCTCGAGTCCTCCTCGACCAGCTCCAACGAGTCGTTCCACCTCGAGATCTCGAGCCTCCTCCAACGTAGGATCGTTGCCCCGAACGACTCGACGAACTCAGCCAGGCTGACGTCGTGGCGGGCGTTCTCCTCCCACTGTTTCACCTTGGTCAACACCAATTCAGCGCCCATCAGGTATCTGGATAAAGGGGATTCCACGGAGAAGCCGAACACCCTGTCGATTATCGTTGTTATCGAGTCGAGCAACGGGTTGCCGGGCCACTCCCTCGACAGCTCGTCGATCCTCGCGCGAAGCTGGTCGAAAAGCGGCGGCAACGTTCCACCTCGTCCACGTTCGGATTCTTGTAGAAGTTGTACGCCTTTCCATCCCCTAGACGGGAGAACGAGGACGAGGAGGATCCGTGGGAGATCAACACGCTCAAAGTGGACACCAATCGGGAGGAGAGACTCTCTGGCCAAGTTCTCACCTCGTGGCCCAACACCTCGTACCTTTGGGCCAACGGGCGAAGGAAGTCCGGCTCGAGGGCTCCTCGATCCTTCTCCTCCTCTGCTGAACAATTGTCCAACACGCTCGAGTGAATCTCGAGGATGGCCCTGGCGTCCCTCGAGGATATCGCCTCGACGTCTCTCCCCGAACTCGTCCCTTCCTCGACGATCGAATCCTGCTCCCTGAACTCGAGGAAGTCTCGTCCATGGTCGGGGAACGTGTCTCTGTAATCCTCCTCCTCCTCCTCTTCCTCCTTTTTCCTAGCTCCTTTGCTCTTGAACAGGCTCTCCCTCTCCTTAGCCTCCTCCTCTCTTCGTCTCTCCTGCTCCCTCCACGCGATCCTGATCCAGTGCAGGATCCTGATCAATTCGTCCAGCAAGGACCCTGTCTGCCCGCCGTTTCGAACGGCCAGCGACAAATTCTCGAGTTCCATCAGGGCGATCTTGCTCATAGAGAGTCTCGAGCTTTCCGAGGAGAAGCACAGTCTGACCAGGTTCAGGTAATTCTCTTGGCATCGGCCAATAACCGGGAAACGCAACAGTTCGTAAGAAGACGAGGACTCGTTGGATCCCATCGCACGGCTGGATGCCGCCAGATGCGCGAGGATCGACAACCCGTGGCGGAGGCTCGACACGGCTGAGAGAATAGGCGAGACGAGATCCGGGAAACCTGGGAGAAAGTTCCTCTCCAACTTTGCGGAGAACCTCTCCAACGACCTCCTCCAGATCTCGGCCTCGCGCAGCCTCTCCCTCAGCCGAGGCTCCTCCATCACCCTCGAATCGGTCACCGCCTCGTTCAATCGCTCGATCCGCTCGAACGTGGACGAGGCCACGTTGCTCGAGAAATTCTCCACCTCTTCCCTTAAACGCGGGAACAGGGAGGGGGGTCTGACCGCGCCTGAAGAGTTGTCCAAACCCTTCGACGACTCCCTTAAACGGTCCTCTATCATAGTTCTTCTCGAGGAGGAACGAGAAGTTGGGCCGAGGATCGAGGATTGCAAGCGGTCGAGGCGCAACGAGAGCTCCAACTCGGCCACGTTCTCGCGAAGGTATCCAGATTTCAACGCGATCTTTCGCACGGGATCGATGGAGTCGAGATGGGCGAAGAGAAAGGCTTGGAGGTGGCCCAGCAACAGCCAACCGTTCCCTCTGCTCGACGCGTCGCTCGAGCTGTTCAATTTCTGCTCGATGGCCTGCAACGCGTTCGCAGGCGAGAGGAAACGAGTCGTCAAGTCGGCCCTCTCCTCCTTGTTCAGCTTCAGGTCGATCGAGTCCAGGATCCCGTTCACGGTGGACAGGTAATAGTTGGCGTAAAATCGGAGGAGGGCCGAGTCGTTGGCTGACACGTCGTAGTCGGTCGAGTTCAACACCGTGGAATTTCTCCACAACAACGCCTGTACAGTGCGCAGCAGTCTCTTCCTGCTCTCGTGATTCCCGAAAGTGGCGCCCTCATCTCCTCGCCGCCCGGAAGAAGAGAAGAGCTCGTAGAGGAGATGGCAGAGGGTCGATTTGTTCACGAGACTCGTCTGAAAATTGGGAAGACGCGAATTTGAAAGAAGTGTACAATATTAAGTGGAATTAAGTGCATCTAGCGAGCAAGAAGAAATTGATTCATTGAATACATAACAGACGTTTTTTTCTTTGTCTTTCTCGGACACAAACACGTATGTACGGTTTTAAAGCAGTTTTGTTAAATCCACGCTATTTTTGATAAAATTTTACAAAGTTGTTTGTATGTTCGTATGCTTAGTGTTTTCTTACGAGCGTTACGATATTTTGTGAAACTTGACACTTGACCGAATTGACGTGTATATCTTGTTTCTTTTCTTTTTCTCTTCGAGCTGCAGACTTTGCGAAGCTTTCGAGGATATTTTTTCTTTTCTTTCTAAGCAATTTGCTTAATCCTAACAACAATTCCTTAATTGTATAAAATGGCGAAATATAAAACAAATTCGATCTTTATTACAAAGTATTTAAAAGAAAAAATTAGATTTAAACATTTTAAATTATTTTAAAAATTACAATGTATAATATTAAGTCATACTCGACATAAGAGTCCTAAGAATGCGCTGCTTCGTGTTTCTGCTTCGACAATCTATCTGTATTTAGAGTTCTTCTGATTGGTCGAATTTGGATATAATTAGCAATCCCTTCGGAATTAGAATGCTTTACTCGATCGGTAACCCAGATCCTTCTTTTAGAAACTTATCGAAAGTTGTATGCACATTTGTGTTTAACTTCTTGTAAATTACTAATTGAATTGAAGACAGCGCGATTAAATAGAAACAAAACCATTCTTTTTGAGCATTTTTTAGTCTATGTACCCTAAATTACTAAAAAATACTACCTAAAAAGCAAAACTGCGCGGTAGGTTCGACAGACAGATAGTATTACGACTAATGGTAACAAGAAAAAAACTCGATATGCAATGAAAAATGAAAAACTAACGCAGCGTAATAATAAAAATTCAAGTAAAAACGTAACAAAATATAACAAGTAATGAAATGCAAAATGCGAAACATTAAAATTCAACTATGAATAAAAAGAATGTACTATAATTTATGTATCATTTATACAAAACCGCACAAAATTACAATTGTGAACGAGTGGACGTTTTATACGTACATAAAGATAATTGGTATTTGGTATTGGAATCTTTGATTTTTATAATGGCCTTTAACCATCGTGATATGGCTTTCAACAAGTTTTTCCAAGTAATTTTTGTCAATCCATTGAATTTTCAATTCTTTCAATAATATTTGTTTATTAATAAACAAATTTTGTTCTAAAGGAATTTCTAAAACATCCATTATACTCCAATTGGTATGGTTTTGGATCGTTATCTTGTTGTAACGTCCATTTTTAAAATTCTTCTAAATTTTCATTCAAGATATCGATGTATTTATCTGCATTCGTAATACCATCCATGGATATTAAATTTCCATACCACGAGAAACGAACATTACCGATCCTCCTCCATACTTGGCAATCGATACAACAGTCGGTAAGATGGTTAAGCCTTTCTTTTCTTATTTAATAATTCAAATTTTACTCTTTAAATTATTTGTTTATATACTTATGGCAAAATTTAAATATTTCTTCTTTTGCAAGGTCTTTAAACAAAGTCTTTGCCTCTTTTAATCTTTTACAGTCTTAAAAATAATCGTAACTATTCAACGATATTTCGTGATGTTATCGTTGGATCGTGCTACGTTTCCATCCTCGACCGTATAAATTATCAACGCTACCGTGTTCTAAATACTTTTTATAAATTTTATCAACAGTGCTTCTAGAAACATTATATTATATTTTTTTTTTATGAGCAATATAACTTTGATTATTTTTGCAATTAAATTTCGTGACTGAGCCCCATTTCACGTTATATCAATAAAATTTAGATCGTGAGTTCAAACGAATTAAAACTTTTTCTTGCTCGCTACACGCGTCCACTTAATTTTCTCCACGACTCGTGCGTAATAAAATCTTCGAAAATTAGGAAAAAAAAAAAAAAAAAAAAAAGTAAAGAAAAACAAAAATTACCTGGAAATCGTCCTCCTTTTCCTCCTCGTCGCGCAAACAGCGTAGAAAAACGTTCGAATTTCCGGCGGAGAAGGATCGCCCCGTGAAATCTTCGACCGCGTTGAACAACTCATGGAACAAAGCGATCCTCCTCCCCCCTGGCAACGCTTCCTCGTCGTTCAGAGCTCTCATCAAGCCGATCAATCGCGCCGGTATGGTAGGAATCTGTTCGAATCTTCCAAAAGCGCCCTCTTCGCAAATTTTCCCAATCCTCGTCTCTTCCTGATCCGTGACATTACGAAGCAAGAACACGTCGCAAAATCTTCTTTGAAAGCGATACGCGAAAAGCAGGAAGAAAAACTCGTAGACAGGCCACAACTCGACACCATTTTCTTCTTTTCTCCTCCCCTCGCCAATCTCCTCCTCCTCCCTCAACTCGACGATGCTTTCGTCCAACTCGTCGATCTCCACCTCGTCCTCGCACCGATCGTTCCTCGAATCCTCGAGGCAGATCTCGATCAGCCTCCCCCTGGCGGCCAAATTTCGCTCGAGTCGGATCGAGGCGATCTTCGATCTGGTCCTCGACGAGTCGATCGTGTCCTCCTCGTTGATCTCCAACTTCCTCGAGGCGGATCTCAATTTCTCGCGGAACGCGATTCGACGGTGGGAGAAGTGGGGGGAGTAAGAAAACAAAAATTACCTGGAAATCGTCCTCCTTTTCCTCCTCGTCGCGCAAACAGCGTAGAAAAACGTTCGAATTTCCGGCGGAGAAGGATCGCCCCGTGAAATCTTCGACCGCGTTGAACAACTCATGGAACAAAGCGATCCTCCTCCCCCCTGGTAACGCTTCCTCGTCGTTCAGAGCTCTCATCAAGCCGATCAATCGCGCCGGTATGGTAGGAACCTGTTCGAATCTTCCAAAAGCGCCCTCTTCGCAAATTTTCCCAATCCTCGTCTCTTCCTGATCCGTGACATTACGAAGCAAGAACACGTCGCAAAATCTTCTTTGAAAGCGATACGCGAAAAGCAGGAAGAAAAACTCGTAGACAGGCCACAACTCGACACCATTTTCTTCTTTTCTCCTCCCCTCGCCAATCTCCTCCTCCTCCCTCAACTCGACGATGCTTTCGTCCAACTCGTCGATCTCCACCTCGTCCTCGCACCGATCGTTCCTCGAATCCTCGAGGCAGATCTCGATCAGCCTCCCCCTGGCGGCCAAATTTCGCTCGAGTCGGATCGAGGCGATCTTCGATCTGGTCCTCGACGAGTCGATCGTGTCCTCCTCGTTGATCTCCAACTTCCTCGAGGCGGATCTCAATTTCTCGCGGAACGCGATTCGACGGTGGGAGAAGTGGGGGGGAGGGATCGAAGAGAGGTGTTTCTTAACCTTGTTGCGCAATTTTCGATACTTGTCCCCTTCGAGGGGAACGTTGAGATACTCGGCCGCAAAGTCGGACAATCGTTGGCGGGCGAGATTAGTCGAGTAGGCGGGGAGAAGGGCGAACAATCTTTGGAAAAATTTGACCAACCATTTGTAATGGACCGTCAACGAGGAGGAGATGTCGCGGAGATCGAGGAACGTGCCTCGAGATCTGTCCACCAATCTCGCCGATCCTTGATCGTGGAATCTTTTGTACCATTTCAAATCATCTCGCAACTCGAGATACGTTTTATCGTCTATCGGTAAGTTAAGATTTTCCAGGATCGTGTCCAAGATTATCGGGCATTGTTCAGTCAACCGTGCGAATTTCAAGATCAACGTCTCGTGTTTCAAGTTGGTGGACAATCTTCCTGAAAAGAAGTGAGAGGAAAAATTCGAAGATCAAGGTTTTTTTTCAGCGAATTATTAATTTTTTCTCTTTTCAACTCACCCGAGGAGACGGCGGACGAATACTCCTCCAATCGAATAACATCTTTGTCGCCGTTTCCATCCTCCTTTCTTCTTCTCGACTGGCAATCGTGAATCATCGATCGAAAATACAGCTTAATGGACAAATTATTAGCGATAGTGGAACGTTCGATCAGATACAACGGGACGTCCAGGCCAGACTCGAACAAAGGTTTCGAGTCCTCCACTTTCTTGGCCAAACATTCGCTCATACTTGAAAATTCGTCCAATTCGTTCTTCGAGAAAATGTTCTTCGAGCACCATAATCGTCTGATCGGTAAATCGTCCATGGAAGAACGTTCGTAAAAATCGAGCAAAAGGTGTTTCAAAAACTTCTTTGTATCCGTGATGGGCGGTCCATCGAATAAATCTTCAAAATCAATTTTCTCCGAATCGTCCCTGAAACGAAGAGATGAAGAAACGACCTAATTTTTCATCGAGAAGCAAAATTGAAATTTCGTTAAAAATTTATTAAATCGAAAACACGAAATTTGTCGAAACAAAAACAATATATTTTCCCAACGACATGTTCCAATTAAAATAAACTTCACGATTTTAACGAGGGAGAGATTCTTCGAATGCTAGGATTACAGGTTCTCGAATATTTTATTTTATTTAAAAACAATTATTTCGAACGACGAAACGAACGATAATCGATCGCTTGTCAGAAAGTTAAACTCGCATTGCGTATGAAATTCGATATTTTAAAAACGTGTATTTTCCTTTCTCACGTTAGAAATTTTGATCCCTACTTTCAAATATAACTATACTATTACAATTTTAACAAGACAAGAATATCATTCCACATTTTCGATTTATATTTTTTTCGCGAGGAATTCAATTGTCGAACCACTCGAAACGCATATATTGCACGAGAAAAAGAAAAAAGTATGGAAAATTTTTCGAATCTCTTCTCTTTTTCTTCTACTTTCGAGCAGAGAAGAAAAGTAAACCAATTTTAACTTTCTCTTTACCTCAATTTCTCCACGGCAGACTTCAAAAGGAATCCCTGCTGCCTGACGACGGCCAGCCCCGAGTTCCTTCGAAGATCGCACAATCTCAACGTGAGGGCGTCGAGATCGTAACGGAAGAAGGCTCGTTCTCCCCTCTCCCCGGACAAAATTGCCTCGATTTTTCCCCAAGCCTCGTGCCTCGATCTCGGGTCGAGCGTGGCGCAGAGCTCGCGATACGAGTTCCTTAAGGATCTCTCGAACGAGAATCCCTTCGACATCTGGCGGCTGGTGAACGAAGCTACCTGCAACAACTCGTTCAATCTGTACCGGGCCTCGTACAACGATCGATGAATTTCCACGATCGAGTCCCGTTGGGCCCCGTCCCTGATCCCGCAGTTGTTCAACAAAGACACCACGTCCAGTCGATCGAGGGGCGCGTGATTTTGGGGGGTCGGTATGCTAATTTCTACGCCCCTGTTTCGCATAGCTCTAAAAATAGAAAAATTTGGTTAAATTTCGTTTAAATTAATCGGAATATAAATAATAAATGTTTATAATAAGTCTAAATAAATGTTTGGAATTAATCAGAATTGTTGCGTCTCTTTATAGTTTAATAGTTTAATCTCGGTCGATAACGATTCTATATTCTGTAAAATTCTGTTCATTATTCATCACGATTACGATTTTAATCCACACTTCTATTGCATTCCGTTCCCAATCAGGGGAATTAAATTTCAAAGGTGTGTTCCTAACACATGAGAAAAATAAATAAAATTGTTTGAAATTAATCAGAATTGTTGCGTCTCTTTATAGTCTATTCGATAACGATTCTAAATTTCTGTTCATTATTCATCACGATTACGATTTTAATCCACTTCCATTGCATTCCATTCCCAATTGGAGGAATTAAATTTCAAAGGATGTTTCTAATGTGTTCCTAATACATGAGAAAAATAGGAATGCTCACTTTTATCCCAATGACATCGTCTTTGTGAAATTAGATTTAAATATCCTATCAATAGGAACGTGAGCACGATAGTCTTTAAACAGTCACATGGAATCAGCCAGTAAAGATAAAATTCCAAAATTTTGCATACCAAAAATCTATGCTTCGTTTTAGAACAGACTTAAGAGACATCTATCGGCTAGAAACTGAACTCCATGCATTCATATAGCGCGCATTCGACTCAAATATCATAACAACTTCATGCTCGACTGCATTGCTTGTCATTTGATCCGGTTGTAAGTAGCTTAACTAACGGTTTTATATATATATTATTTTTCTCAACTCGTCACTCAAAATTCACACGATAGAAGGTTAATAATTAGTTTTTTCAATGAAAAAGGAATAAAAAGGGAAAAAGGAAGAGAATTAATTACACTTGCCTGGATATCTCTCCATAGCGTGGATCCATAGCTAGGAACAAGCGAAAGTCCTGGTGAGGTTTCACGGTGAACACGTCCCCGTTTTCATCGACACCCTTCTCCCCGATCGTTAGCGCGCCGTTCGGTTCCAGCAGCCCATTCAATCGATCCAAAATTGCTGGGCTGCACAGATTCACCTGGTCCAGCAGTAACCATGTGCCGTTCCGCAGGCACTGAAATGGAAAACGCGATTCCCACTTACGTGCGCTTTGTCCACACAAATTAGATTTTTTTTTTTTTTTTTTCTTAAATTCGACCCCGTCATCGATTCTCCTATTAGCCGTCTTTGATCGCCTCGTGCAACACTTTCCATTCTTTATTATTTAAATTTAACGATTTCTTTGTTTCGTAGAAATGTTTTCCAATGTTTTATCATTTAATTTGTATTATTTTATTACTCGATCGAGAATTGAGAGAATAATATTCCGCGTTGAAAATATATTTTTTTCGATAGTTTTTTATTATTATTATTCCATCTTTTAATGGCGTCGTTCGATCTCAAAGGTGTTCACCTTGTTCTGGAGAAAGTTGAGAAATCGATTGTAAATAGAAACTTTTCGAAAGGGATGATCGATTTTTTTTATTTTCATTAGATTCCATTTTTTTAATATTTAACTAATATCCATTAGATATATATTTTTTATTGTTTATTAATGTTCATCTAAAATGTCTATCTAAAATTGTCGCCAGTCTCGCAAAGAAACTTTCTCAGATCGTTCTCAAATGGCGATACAAACTATTACCTGTAACTATTTATATCTTTGGCTTGGCAAGAATCGATCGACAAGAGAAACAACAGAAAATAGACTTATTTTTTCGATAAACACCGCTTCGAAACACTGTTGTAAGAAATGTATAATTGTAAGAAATTTCGAGTAAGAGAAACAACAGAAAATAAACTTATTTTTTCGATAAACACTATTGTAAAGAAATTGTATAAAAATTTCAAATAGAAACAACAGAAAATAGACTTATTTTTTCGATAAACACCGTTTCGAAACACTGTTACAAGATAACAATAAATAAATATAACAAATAAAATACAAGAGTGGAATAAAAAATTTCGAAAGAATACAATTTCGACGAGAATTGAATCCACTCCTTATAATAATAATGGCCGCTTTTTTTTCTTTTCTCTTTTTTTAAATCAAACGAAAAAAAAAAAAAAAAGGAAGGCGATACTCACTTTCACCAACACGCTGTCCACCCACTCGAATTTTCCTCCGGCGTTCAGGCATCTGTCCTTGTTCACGGCGATCGATAGATCGGCCAGCTTTTTCTCGATCTCGAGTAATTCCGACTCGCTGCGGATCTCGAGCCCTTTCATCGCCGACACGAGCCTCGATAATTCCTCGGTTTTACGTAGAAACAGCTTCGTCTCCGACGACATGGTCGTTTCCATTGTTTCCCCTCCGCCGTCTGGTTCTAGCGACAAAAGTTTCGTCGAAACCGGTACAATCGTGAATCGTGCCCGATGGGAAAAATGGGAGCGACGAAAAAATCAAATTCACAATTTTCCAACTTTATCTTCGACTTTTGTTTCAAACTTGTTCGAAATCGAAATGTAAATGTGCATAGATCGTATCGTTTTGAAAAGAAGAACAAGAAGGAGAAAAAAATAAATTTGAAGCAAAATAATTTTATTCGATGCGAATGGATTTCTATTCTTGTTTAGGTTATTTAGGTTATATAGGTTTTAAAGAAGAAATGTAAGACTCACTTTTGAATAAATGTTGAAAATATATATAATGTGGTCTCGAAAAAAGAACAAGAAAGGAAAATAATTTGAAGCAAAATAATTTTATTCGATGCGAATGAATTTCTATTCTTGTTTAGGTTATTTTAGAGAAGAAATGTAAGACTCACTTTTGGACAGATGTCAAAAACATGTATAACATGTGGTCTCGAAAAAAAGAAGAAGAAAGGAGAATAATTTGAAGCAAAATAATTTTATTCGATGCGAATGGATTTCTATTCTTGTTTAGGTTATTTTAAAGAAGAAATGTAAGACTCACTTTTGAATAAATGTTGAAAATATATATAACGTGTGGTCTTAAAAAAAAGAACAAGAAAGGAAAATTTGAAGCAAAATAATTTTATTCGATGCGAATGAATTTCTATTCTTGTTTAGGTAATTTTAGAGAAGAAATGTAAGACTCACGTTTGGACAGATGTCAAAATACATGTATAACATGTGGTCTCGAAAAAAGAAGAAGAAAGGAGAATTTGTAGCGAAATAATTTTATTCGATGCGAATGAATTTCTATTCTTGTTCAGGTTATTTTAAAGAAGAAATGTAAGACTCACTTTTGAATAAATGTTGAAAATAATATATAACGTGTGGTCTTAAAAAAAGACAAGAAAGGAAATTTGAAGCAAAATAATTTATTCGATGCGAATGAATTTCTATTCTTGTTTAGGTTATTTTAGAGAAGAAATGTAAGACTCACTTTTGGACAGATGTCAAAAACATGTATAACATGTGGTCTCGAAAAAAGAAGAAGAAAGGAGAATAATTTGGAACACGTGATTCGATGTGAATGGATTTCTATTTTTGTTTAGGTGATTTTAGTAAGGAGAAACGTAAGATTCACTTTTGGACAAATGTCAAAAATATATATATAACGTGTGGTCTCGAAAAAAGGAACAAAAAAGAAGAATAATTTGGAATACTTTGTTCGATGTGAATGGATTTCTATTTTCCATTAGAGGAGAAGCGTAAGATTCACTTTTGGACAGATGTCAAAAACATGTATAACATGTGGTCTCGAAAAAAGAAGAAAAAAGGAGAATAATTTGGAACACGTGATTCGATGTGAATGGATTTCTATTTTTGTTTAGGTGATTTTAGAGAAACAGCGTAAGACTCACTTTTCGAAATTATATATAAATATGACTGATCGTCTTTCGAAAAGAAGAAAAAATAATTGGAGACGTTATTCGAATGGATTTCTATTTTCCATTAGATAATTTTAGTAAAGGAGAAGAGTAAATCATTTTCGACAAATGTCGAAAATAACGTACGGTGTCGAACAAGAAAGAAGAATAATTTGGAACACTTTGTTCGATGTGAATGAATTTCTACTCTCCATTAAGTGATTTTAATAGAGGAGAAGGAAGCTTAAGACTCACCTTTGGACAAATGTCGAACGTTCTCGAGGAGGGCATGGTAACGAGCCACCTGATCCAAATTTTCTTTCCTCAAATTCTTCCTCAGGATCCCGATCAACAGTGCTTCCACCCGCTCCAACAATTCCTCCAAGTGTCGATCGTAATCGGTCTGCAATCGAGAGAACGATTTGTTCTTCGGTCTCCATTTCTCCGAGGAGAGGAAGCAAACAACATTTTTGCTGACAGACAAATTCCTGGTGAATTTGTGGCTTGCCGTCTAGATTTCAACTAGTGTCAAAATTTCTCTCTCTCTCTCTCTCTCAATTTTTAACAATAATTTTTGACACATTAAATTCTATTATATTTCATTTGATATAATAAATTTGTAACATAACAATACGACGTGGAGTATGATACGTGCAAATTGTCAGAGCTCCATTTCCAGAGAAATGCACTTTCCATTAGCCTCAATCGCGATTTTTATTTCATTCGTCCTCGATGGTTCCAACATCTTTTCGCCATTCTTCCTTTCTCTGAGGAGAAGAAAAGAAGGAGGGGGAGAGAGAGAGAGAGAAAGAGAGAGGCATTTAGGCAACATCTCAAACTTTGGGGAGGATTTAATAAATTATTCGAATAAAAGTAAAATTTATAAAACATTTATAATTGCATCGATATTTCAAATTCAAGTTAATTGCAATTTTTAGAGAAATACAGTGAAAAAAAAAAATATCTTGCTTTAATTCTTCAACTGCCAATGTGATTTATAAACCACGTACTAAAATTATTGGACAGAGTTAATTAAATAAAATAAATACGATAAAAAATATCTTTTAAAATGGAATATAGCTTCGATGATATATAATTTAAAGTTAGAAACGTTATATATACTTATTTTCATTTTATTTATCTTAGTTGATAAAATGCATATTTTGTCGGTCGAGGTGCTCTTATCTTTTATCCTATTTTTGTCCTGGTACGAGACAAAAGTTTAATTTCATTTTCACTGATATTCGAGTCTCTTTCAAAGTATATTTTCGTGAACTTTCTCTAATATGGACAAGCCTTTTATTTCTTCCAGTTCCTCGTGAAAAAGGGTATTATGTTGAACAAAATGTTGACGAATGAAGTTTTTAGTGTAAATTTTGAGATTTTTACGTTTCTGTAATAACAATTTGTATACTTTTTGTAATTTATAAAATAATCAGAATTACATTGTCTAGTATCATGATTCGATTTTGATAAAATTAGTTAAATTTCGCTTCAAAACGATACTCATTTTAATAGAATTAATATTCCATCTCGTGTTAAATTATGTAATAATAATAAAAAAATAATAAAATTTTAGTAAAATATATATATATATTTTTTTTCGTTAAAAGGTTAAAACTTCGATTTTGTCTCAAAACGATATTCGTTTCGATAAAATTAATACTCCATCTATGTGTTAATAAATAATATAATAATAATAAAAAATGATAAAATTTTAGTAAAATATATATTTTTTTTTTTCGTTTAAAAACTTCGATTTCGCATGAAAACGATATTCGTTTCAATAAAATTAATACTCCGTCTATGTGTTAATAAATAATATAATAATAATAATGAAAAATAATAATAGTAATAATAATAAAAAATAATAATAAAATTAATATTCCAGTAGTGAGGCGCTCGGTTAGACGAATGTATCGACGAGATTAACTGATGGATGCGTCGCGAGATGGCGTGCGAATTACGTTTACGAATTAATCGAGAAACAGAGAAATCGCAAGTGTAGTTTTCGCGTGGAAGGGGCAAGGCACTTAAGCTAAAACGGTTCCTTCCTACGCTGTTCTCAAATTGAAAAATGCCTCCTCCTCGCTTCCTTCATTAATTTTCCCCGCTTGCGGCTAAGTGCCTCCCCTTGATAACTGTTTTCTTCCTTTTCCTTTTCGCCCATCTTCGACAAAGAACAAAGAGATCGAGAGAATTCAACTTTCCATTAACATCACCGGTCACGCGACCATCTTCTTCTTCTTCATCTCGCTTCGATCGATGGAGCAAGGAGTGTGTATATTAAATCGTGATAATAAAGAAACTTTTACCTTCGATAAGTTTCGATAACAATGGGTTCACGTAATTAAGAGATTGAAAGGAAGAATGTTAGTTTTTTTTTTTTTTTTTTTTTTTTAAGAACAAAAAGTGGAAGAAGAATGTCTTGCGAGATTCGTCGATTTATTGAATCAGTTGTCGACGATGAAAATTTACAATTAATAATTAAGAAATCGAAATATTTTGCAGAATTCGTTAATCTTTAAAAATAATTATCGGCAATGAAAGTTATATAACGATAAGTTTTACAATAATAATTTAAAAATGGAAAGAAAGAATGAGTTTTTCGAAATATTTCGAAAGTTTCATAACGATACAATCACGTAATAATTAAGTAATCGAAATAAAGAATGAATTTTTCAAAATATTGAATTCAATAATAAGTAGAAGAGTATTTTGCGAAATTCATTAATCTTTGAAAATAATTATCGACAATGAAAGTTATAATAATTAAGAAACTAATTATCGAAAGGGAGAATGAATTTTTCGAAATATTGAATCTAATAATAAGTAGAACAGTATTTTGTAAAATTCATTAATTTTTAAAAATAGTTATCGATAATCGACAACGACAAAAATTCCATGACAATACATTCATGTAACAATTAAAAAACTAATATCGAAAGGGAAAATGAATTTTTCGAAATATTGAATCTAATAATAAGTAGAACAGTATCTTAAATATCTCTAAAATTTGTCGATTTATTAAAATAATTATCGACAATGAAAATTCCATAACGATGCATTCACGTAACAATTAAGAAATCGGAGGGGGAATGAATTTTTCGAAATATTTCGCAAAATTCGTCAATTTGTTAAAATAATTATCGACAATGAAAATTCCGCAACGATGCATTCACGTAACAATTAAAAAACTGAAATCGAAAGGAAGAATGAGTTTTTTGCGAAATATTGAATCAAATAATAAATATGGAAGAATATCTTCCAAAATTCGTCAATTTATCAAAAAATTCCATGCAAATATATTCCCGTGAATTTTTCTTCTCGCGATCAATTAAAAAAACTGAAGAAACACAGTCGAAGAATATTGATCGAATTTAAATAGAAGAATAATTCGCAAAATTTGTCGACTCCATTTATCACTCGTATTCTCCCCTTTCCCCTTTCGCAAATGTGTTCCAATGTGTAACGATGAAATGATAAAATTCCGGTGGACGTGCGGGGAATAAATTTTAATTAAACGGCGGTGAAACGTTAAACGTATAAATCGTCATTAGAGGAAGCCGGGGTGACACGTATTTTAACTTCTAATGTTGTTTCGTCTGTCCACTGGAAACGGGTTAAACAAGTAGAACATGAGAGAGAGAAAAAAGGTGGCAGCGAGGGGAGGGAAAAACAAGGGTTGTACAACGGTGTGTAAAAAGCGACACGTGGGGAAGATGAAAAGAATCGACGAAAATTGGAATAAAAAAAAAAAAAGTGGAACAAAAATTTCCGAAGAATAGGGGAAGGAAATTATATAAGAATTATAAAAGTTACACATTTTCGAATATTTCGTTAAAAGATTTCGAACAGAATGATATTCGATTCTTTGATTAAAGCCTCCATTATAGGCGATTATACTACTTGGAGAATATGTCGTTTGTAAGTATTAAAATATTTGTAGAAATTAATAATTAAGAAATCGAAATATTTTGCAGAATTCGTTAATCTTTAAAAATAATTATCGGCAATGAAAGTTATATAACGATAAGTTTTACAATAATAATTTAAAAATGGAAAGGAAGAATGAGTTTTTCGAAATATTTCGAAAGTTTCATAACGATACAATCACGTAATAATTAAGTAATCGAAATAAAGAATGAATTTTTCAAAATATTGAATTCAATAATAAGTAGAAGAGTATTTTGCGAAATTCATTAATCTTTGAAAATAATTATCGACAATGAAAGTTATAATAATTAAGAAACTAATTATCGAAAGGGAGAATGAATTTTTCGAAATATTTGAATCTAATAATAAGTAGAACAGTATTTTGTAAAATTCATTAATTTTTAAAAATAGTTATCGATAATCGATATCGACAACGACAAAAATTCCATGACAATACATTCATGTAACAATTAAAAAACTAATATCGAAAGGGAAAATGAATTTTTCGAAATATTGAATCTAATAATAAGTAGAACAGTATCTTAAATATCTCTAATATTTGTCGATTTATTAAAATAATTATCGACAATGAAAATTCCATAACGATGCATTCACGTAACAATTAAGAAATCGGGAGGGGGAATGAATTTTTCGAAATATTTCGCAAAATTCGTCAATTTGTTAAAATAATTATCGACAATGAAAATTCCGCAACGATGCATTCACGTAACAATTAAGAAACTGAAATCGAAAGGAAGAATGAGTTTTTTGCGAAATATTGAATCAAATAATAAATATGGAAGAATATCTTCCAAAATTCGTCAATTTATCAAAAAATTCCATGCAAATATATTCCCGTGAATTTTTCTTCTCGCGATCAATTAAAAAAACTGAAGAAACACAGTCGAAGAATATTGATCGAATTTAAATAGAAGAATAATTCGCAAAATTTGTCGACTCCATTTATCACTCGTATTCTCCCCTTTCCCCTTTCGCAAATGTGTTCCAATGTGTAACGATGAAATGATAAAATTCCGGTGGACGTGCGGGGAATAAATTTTAATTAAACGGCGGTGAAACGTTAAACGTATAAATCGTCATTAGAGGAAGCCGGGGTGACACGTATTTTAACTTCTAATGTTGTTTCGTCTGTCCACTGGAAACGGGTTAAACAAGTAGAACATGAGAGAGAGAAAAAAGGTGGCAGCGAGGGGAGGGAAAAACAAGGGTTGTACAACGGTGTGTAAAAAGCGACACGTGGGGAAGATGAAAAGAATCGACGAAAATTGGAAATAAAAAAAAAAAAAGTGGAACAAAAATTTCCGAAGAATAGGGGAAGGAAATTATATAAGAATTATAAAAGTTACACATTTTCGAATATTTCGTTAAAAGATTTCGAACAGAATGATATTCGATTCTTTGATTAAAGCCTCCATTATAGGCGATTATACTACTTGGAGAATATGT